TAAGAGAGAGAAAGAAAGATAGATAGATAGAGAGAGAGAGGGGGGGGGGGGGCAGACAGAGAGAGAGAGGAAGACAGACAGACAGACAGAGAATCCCCGAACCAACCGGGCGACCACGAGCCCAGAGGCGACATAATGACAAGCCATCGGTATTGACTTGTCGTTCGAGGCAACCGGGGAGGAATTACTTGTTTACATTTGCCGGAGGTGTGCCAGGCAGGCGATATCAGGCGCTCAGCTGTTTATTGAAAACTCATATTCGAGTTTGGAGTTTAGGAAGGCTGCGTGTATGTATGTGTAGATTTATAGGGAGATATGGAGAGAGGGAGAGGGAGAGGGAGTGGGAAAGGGAGGTGAGGGGAGGGAGAGAGAGGAGAGAAAGAAGAGGGAGAGAGAAAAGAGGAGAAAAAAAGAGAGAAGAGAAGAGAAATGAGAAAAGAGAGAAAGGAGAGAGAGAAAAAGAGAGAAAAGACAGAAAGAGAGAGAGAGACTAACTGCAAGGTCAATCTGTCATTTCTTTTTATCTTTTCTTTTTCTCAGATGCAATTGTTTTTTTCTTCTTTTTTTTCCCCTTTCCCTCAACCCTTTATAGCCCACTTCTCCTCGACTCGTATATTTCATGCGTTTCTGCCTCTTCCTCTCTCTGTGGGCCCATTATGCATCGCTCTCCCCTCCTCCCTTCGCCTTCCCTCCTCCCTCTCCTTCTCCCTCTTCTGGTCCTTTTCTCTGTCTGTGTATCCTCTCGCTCGCTATCTTTTCTCTCTCTCTTTATCTATTTATTCCTTTCTCTTTCTATATTATCTATATCTTATCTTCCTCTCTCTCTCTCTCTCTTCTCTCTCTCTCTCTCTCTCTCTCTTCTCCTCTCTTCTCTCTCTCTCTCTTCTCCGTCTCTCTCTTTCTCTCTCTCTCTCTTCTATTTTTTGTTTTTTTTTTTTTTTTTTTTTTCTTTTTTTTTTTAATCTCTTTGCGCATTCAATTCCTACAGTACGCAGATCTCTTTGTATATATATATTTTTTGCCTTTCTTCTATTTCCATAGATCAAAGACACGTCAATAGCGTATCTCTGATGTTGATTATTTTACATTTTTGGTGTGTGTGTGTGTGTGCATGTGTTGTGTGTGTGGGTGTGTGTGTTGTTGTGAGAGAAGAGAGAGAGAGAGAGAAGAGAGAGTAGAGAGAGAGAGAGAGAGAGAGAGAGAGTGTGTGTATGTGTGTGCATGTGTGCGTGTGTGTGTGTGTGTGTGTGAAGAGAGAGAGAGAGAGAGAGAGAGAGAGAGAGAGTGTGTGTGTATGTGTGTGCATTGTGTGTGGTGTGATTTTCCGTCTCTTGTTTCGATTTTCCGGGTTGTATTGAGATGTGTCTTTACCTCAGGGTCGTAAAAAAGGGTAATAAAGAAATACAGACGAAAGGGGGTATTAGAAATGACAAAAAAAAACATGGCTCTTATTAATATCACCTTTTTATTCTATCTCTTTCTCTTTCTCTCTTCTTTCACTCTCTTCGCTCTTGCCTTTATCTATTTATCTTATTCTCTCTCTCTCTCTCTCTCTCTCTCTCTCTCTCTCTCTCTCTCTCTCTCTCTCTCTCTCTCTCTCTCTCTCTCTCTCTCCTCTCTTCTCTCTCATCTCTCTCTCTCTTTCTCTCTTTCCTCTCTCTCTCTCTCTCTCTCTCTCTCTCTCTCTCTCTCTCTCTCTTCTCTCTTCTCTCTCTCTCTCTCTCTCTCTCTCTCTCTCTCTCTCTTCTCTCTCTCTCTCTCTCTCTCTCTCTCTCTCTCTCTCTCTCTCTCTCTCTCTCTCTCTCTCTCTCTCTCTCTCTCTCTCTCTCTCTCTCTCTCTCTCTCTCTCTCTCTCTCTCTCTCTCTCTCTCTCTCTCTCTCTCTCTCTGCGGTCATCTTCTCCCTCATTCGCTGTCACTGACGTGTTAATTTTTCCTTCTCTGGGATTATTCATCTTGCATATTGATGCAGACGGAATTGTACACGTACAATGGGCCCGGTGCTGCAACGTGGCAAGGTGCGAGGTTGCGCAGAGCAGACTTGGCTGTCGTTTTAATCTTTGTAATAGGGGAGGTCAGGGCTTTTTCTGTTTTTTTGTTTTTTGGTTCTTTTGAGGGGGTTTGGGTTTCTTTCTTGGGGGGGAGGAGGAGGTGGGGTGAAAATGAAAAGAGGAGTGAAGGGAGGAGAACTAAATGAGAGTAATATATATATATATATATATATATATATATATATATATATATAATATATATATATATATATATATATATATATGTATGTATGTATATTATATATATTATACACACACACACACACACACACACACACACACACACACACACACACACACACACACACACATATATATATATAATATATATATTATAATTATATATATATATATATATATATATATATATATATAATATGTGTGTGTGTGTATATATATATTATACATGCACGCACACACGCACACATACACATACTCACTCACTCACTCGCAGATAGAGAGAAAGAGAGATACAGTTAATAGTTAATAGAGATAGATACAGTTAATTATGTATTCATATATTTTTTATATATGTATGTATATGATTTCAATAAGGGTGTGAGCAGTTTTGCCGTGACGGAAAGGAAAATGTTTTATCTACATTGTTCTTTTTCCTCTAACTGTTATTGTTGTCAGTAATCTTTGTTCTAAATCCGATTTTTATGATTTTATGGGTTTATTGCCCCCCATCCATTGTCTCTTTACACAATTACCTTTTTTATATTCCATGTGTAATGTAATGATAGAATATATACAGTATGTTGGGGTATGACGTGACATGCACTCTCACATTAATCATTTGGGAGGTGACTTCTCCTTCTTCTTCTTCTTCTTCTTCTTCTTCTTCTTCTTCTTCTTCTTCTTCTTCTTCTTCTTCTTCTTCTTCTTCTTCTTCTTCTTCTTCTTCTTCTTCTTCTTCTTCTTCTTTTCTTTTTTTTTTTTTTTTTTTTTTTTTTTTTTTTGAGGGAGGGGTTGTATCGGTTTTGTGGGGGGGGGTTCTGTTTATATGGGTTTTATATATATGTAATCAGGGGAGTAGTAGAGTGGACATCTTGTGGTGTCTTTTGATGGTTTTTATTTCTAGAAATATCCGTAATTTTAGTATTTGGGGGGATTTGGCCTTTTTAATCGTTTCTTTGAAGAAATATCGAACTCTTTGTCAGCGCTATTCTGTTTCATTTTTATTATTATTATTATTATTATTATAGTAAGCTATATAAAGATCCACCCTGAAAAATACATTCTATCTTTTACTCTGTTGTAATAGTTTCATAATGAAAAAAAACTCAGGATCTTTTCTGTAGATCGAAGGGAGAGAGAAGTCATTCATGCATTGGGCAAATTTACACCGTGTTTGTCGTGAGGGAGACCTGCGAAAAGGACTTGGGAGAGAGGGAGAGGGAGGGGAGGGAAAGGGAGAGGTGAGAGAGAGGGAGAGAGAAAGTTTTTTTTCTCTTTTCTTTTCATTTCTTTTCTTTTCTTTTGTTTGTTTTATATTTCTTTTTCTTTTTTCCTCTTTTTTATTCATTCATATTGTTATTCATTCGTGTCTTTACTTATTTTTCTCCCTTTCTTTCTTTTGTAATGTTTAGCTATTTATTTATTTCTGTATGATATGGATTTCTTCATGTGCTTAACTGTATCTCATTTTTAGATGTCTAGAAAAATATATATTTATTTTATATGTCTATTTTATATATTTATTTTCACTCTATACAAATGTACCAAATTTTATCTGATTATTTCACACAATATCTTCACGATTGATGGATTTTTATATCACCCTCTGAGACATTTTTCTGATAAGTGTAGCTTGACTTCGACTTGATTTCAGCTTTGTTAAACCTCATCAAAAATACACATTCGTTGGTAATAAATCTGAAGAAAATTATCAAAGATTCCGGTAATACTTGGTGGTGTATGTATTGTATCTGTCCATATCTATCGATCTAATTATCTATTTATTTATCTATCTCTACATATATATATGCGTATATATAGATAGATAGCTAGATAGATAAATAATGTGTATAGCTTGTGGGTATGCATTTGCGTGTGCGTCCCCGTGCGTGTGTGCGTGTACACACACATGCACTTACTTACTTACATGTACATATATATATATATATATATATATATATATATATATATATATATATATATATATATATATATATATATACACACACACACACACACACATACATGTAATATATAAGAAAGTGCATGTGTATGTGTGTGTGTGTGTGTACACGCACACACGCACGGGGACGCACACCCAAACGCATGTATGTATATATATGCATTTGTGAAGTATAACGCTGTTCGAAATCCAATCATAAGAAAACAAATGCAGTTCATGTGTGTTTAAACGCCGGGACGAGACGCCAGACACGAGAAGACAAAAGGCTAAGGACAAACGGCCTTGGGGAGCGAGAGAGCGCCCCCGGGGATGGAGAGAGAGAGAGAGACAGACAGAGAAACAGAGGGACAGACGGAACGGAGCGGAAGACCGAGATAGACAGACAGACAGAAATAGAACGAAAGACCGAGACCGAGGCAGAGAGACAAAGAGCAAGAGCGCGAGTCAGAGATGGAGAGAGAGCAAGACAGAGACGGCTAGAGAGACGGAAACATGGAGAGAGCGAGAGAGAGAGAGAGAGAGAGAGAGAGAGAGAGAGAGAGAGAGAGAGCGAAACAATGACAGTGAGACAGATTCAGCGAGTGAGAAACAGAGAGAAAGAGACAAACATCAAGAGAGCGAGAGGGCGAAACAGACAGTGAGAGCAAGAGCGAAACAGACAGCGAGAGAGAGAGACAGAAACAGCGAGAGGGCGCCAGAGAACAGAGAGAGCAAGAGCGAAACAGACAGCGAGAGGGCGCGAGAGAGCGAGACAGAAACAGCGAGAGGGCGCGAGAGAGTTAAAGAGCCCGACACCCGGGACAGGGC